CTGCATCTGTAAACTTTGCATCCGCCATTTCTGCCTGAAAGTATGGATCCTACACTGATCACCTGACTTGTGATGAGCTTTGTGAACACAAAGAGGCTGATCCTGCAGTATTTCATGAGCTGTGAATCTGAACAGGAATCCGTGGTGCCTGCCCTGCTGTGTACCATGGAAAGAAACAATTCAAAATTGATGTTGGCATTCATTGAGCAGCTGCATCCAGTGGACTATCACTATTGGGCTCGGGAAACAAGCACCGAGTGGTGGGATTGGATTGTGATGCAGATATGGGATGATGAGCAGTGGCTGCATAACTTTCATATGCGCAAAGCCACCTTCCTTGAACTCTGTGTGGAGCTTTCAAGGACATGAAAATGAGAGCTGCCCTAACGGTGGAAAAGCATGTGTTGATCACTGTGTTGAAGCTGACAACTCCAGACTGCTACCAGTCAGTTGCCAATCAGTTTGGAGCTGGGAAGTGTGCAGAGCCATTAATCACCTTCTGCTATGAAGGACTGTGACTCTGAGCAGTGTGTAGGAAATAGTGGGTGGCTTTGCAGCAATGGGATTCCCTAACTGCGGTGAGGCGATAGATGGCACACATATCCCTGTTTTGGCGCTAGACCATCTTGCGATGGAGTATATCAAGAGAAACGGCTATTTCTCTATGATATTGCAAGTGTTGGTGGATCACCAGGGTCGTTTCACTGACATGAGTGCAGGGCGGTCAGGGAAGGTGTGTGACGCATGCATCTTCAGGAACACTGGACTGTATAGAAAGCTGAATGCAGAGACTTTCTTTCAAGACAAAAAGATTCCAATAGGGAATGTGAAAATGCCCATAGTGATCCTGGGAGACCCAGCCTACCCCTTACTCTCATGGCTCATGAAACCATACACCACAGCTGTTAGGAGTGCTTCAACAACTAACTCAGCAAGTGCAGAATAACCAAGAATGTCCATTTGGCAGATGGAAGGGTCACTGGCGCTGCCTTTTTGGCAGGTTAGACCTCAACAAGGAAACTATTTCCAGGGTCATAGCAGCCTGCTGTGCTCTGCATAATATTTGTGAAACCATGGGGGAAAAGTTTGCCCAGGGGTGGAACTCTGAGGTAGATCACCTGGTGGCTGATTTTGAGGAGTCAGACACCAGGACTATTAGAGGGGCTCAGCGGGGGGCTATTCGAATCAGGGAGACTTTGAAGCAGCATTTTGACAATGAGCCCCAGCAATGTGTCTTTCAGTAATGAATTGAGCCAAGCATTGTTTACTTGCCACATTGAATGACCCCTGTAATGATTCCTGCATGAGCATTAATTGTAGTCTGCAAATGTGGCGATTACTACTGTGTATGAATTTCTGTTGCAACCACCTTGCATAGGTCACAAATAAAGAAACACTGAATTTGTAAGACTAAATTTTTATTAAACAGCAATGCCTAGATTAACATTTCTTATAAAGGACATGACAGTGAGCAGCACTCTCTGAAGTGAGTATTTCACAGCTGGGTGTAAGTCCAGCTTTCGTTATGGGAGATGTCCCTGCAGGTGGAGTGCCAGGGGTACCGTGGCAGGCCAGGAAGTGCAAGGAATGTATGGGGGGAGTTTGGGAAGAGCATGGAAGGCAGGGAATTGAGCACTACAGTGCAGTCAGGGACCCAAGCATCTCTGTTTGGTCCTCTGTGAGCTTTATCTGCTCCTGACCCTGTATTATCCGCTCCTGGCCCTGGCCCCTCTCCTGGCTATTCATTTCTAGCTTTTTGTTTGTCTCTCGCCATGCTCTGTGCTCACTATCAGCCTGATCTGACAATTGCAGCACTTCATGAAACATGTCCTCCTTACTCCTCCTCATTTGCTTCCTTATCTGATGGAGGTGTTCCGCTGGTGTGTAGGAGCTGGCCCTCAAGCACACATCTGCAGAAGCACAAGAAACAGTACACAGAGTCAGTATTGTGTGTGCACTCACTGTCTTTGAGAAAGAGGTGTATGTAACTTTCATTATTAATTTTCCTTGACAAGCACGCACTAAACAGAGCACTAAACATGGTGAGTTTGGCTGGGGGGATGTGGGGAGGGGATGGTGGAAATGGTCTGGGTGGTTTCAGAAGGGGATCAGTTCAAGCGTCTAAGGACACTATTTTGAATACTGGCACCGTTTTCCACAGGCGGGGGCAACTGAAGCTGAAATCACACTACTGAGGGTAACCAAAGATGCAGGGGTGCATTTCCTGCATGCGTGCGGTTTCCAACAGGTTCTATATGCTGCTACCTGTGTGCTGCTTTGGTGCCTCCAGAAGTAATTGCCAATTGGTGCAGCAAAGTTTCCTACAACAGGGGAAGAAACAAAGCAGTTCTGCCAAGGAACCTTCGGCAAAGGATTGTAGCGTATCTGCAGGAAAGTTTCCTAGAGATCACTATGGAGGATTCCCAGGAGAACTTGGTGTGCATTAACAAACTTTTCCACGGCACCCCCACTGCGTAGCTGCACAGGGGAGCAAGAAGCAGATGAAACAATACCAAGTGTTGTTAATTTCAATCTCTTCTCCCATGTGCACCATGTAACAAAATAAAGGACACCTCTAGCTCATATAACCATGCACTATCAAAGCAAAATGAGTACTTACCGGAGCTCCCCTCTTTTGCTTCAGGCACACTAGAGCCAGACTGCTGTGACTGGCTAGATCCCTCTGGAGTCAAAAAGAGGTCTTGGCTCACCTCGCCATGCCACAGGACAAGCCTGTTGCTTGTTCCACATCATCCTCCAACTTGACCTCCTCGTCCACCCCTTAGTCTTTGGGAATGACTCCACTGGCCACAGCCTCCAGTCCCCTCAAAGTATCCATGGGGCTCTTGGCGGTGAAGGTGGGGTTGCTGCCGAGGATGGCGAGCTGCTCCTTGTAGAAGTGGCATGTTTTTGGCACCGCACCAGAGTGACGGTCAACCTCCCTTGCCTTCTGGTACGTCTGCCTCAGCTCCTTGATCTTAGCATGGCACTGCTGCATACCCCTTTCGTGCCCCTTCCCATCCATGCCACAGGCAATCTGCTCGTAGGTGTCAAAGTTCCTATGTCTGGATCGGAGCTGCAACTGCACAGCCTCCTCTCCTCACAGACCCAACCAATCCAGCAACTCCTGTGTACTCCAGATGGGAGCATGTTTGCTGCGGAAAGCCGGCATAGTTGGCTGGGAAGATGTGATGTGAGCTGTCCATGCCAAGCAAACAGGAAGTGGAATTTCAAAAATTCCCAGGGCTTTAAAGGGGGAGGAGTGCAGGCCTCTGTACCTGGCTGTAGGGCAGCAGAGTAGAAACTGCTTACCAAAGCGGTCATGATGGGCATTGTGGGACACCACCTGGAGTCTCCTTAGGGTGACATAAACAAGCACAGTGTCTACACTGACAATGTGTCACTCTAACTTTGTCTCAAAAAGCTCTGTGCCGCTCATCAAGATGGTTTTATTATGTCGGTGTAGCAGGAGAATTAAATTGGTGGGAGGAGAATTGTGTGTACACCTCCACTGTTTTGTCAATGAAGACTGACTTTTGTTGACAAAACTGTGTAGTGTAGACAAGGCCTTAGTAATGTCATACAGTAGAATCTTATAACTTTACATACAATGTTTCCATACATATTTTACCAGTACAATAATGATCAGCAAATTATGACTTTTCAAATGATGCCTCTTCAAAGCCATACTTGTTGTACAAAATTTATCATTGGGGTACAGACCATCACACCTCCTCCTTACAAAGCTGTGGCTAACCCAGAGGCAGTTGGTCAGGGCCCTCTTTCCTGGACAGGGCATCTGCTGCCATGTTGTCTTTTCTCTTTATGTGCACAATTTCCGTATCAAAATCCTGAAGAGGCTCCAGTGTAGAAGCTTGGAATTTGAGCCTTTAGGTTTGTTTAGCCTAATCAATGACTAATGATCTGTTAAGACCCTGAATTTTCTATTGAACAGGTAGGGCCTGTTCTTTTGAACAGGATAGTTGCTTAACTGCCCACACTATAGCATAGCATTCCTTTTCTATGACAGACTAATTCTATTCAGTTGATGTACATGTTTTGCTTAAGAAAGCAATTGCGTATTTCATGTTATTCTCCCCTGTTTGCATCAGCACAGCACCCAGACCAACGTCTGATGCATCTTTACGCAGTTTAAGCATTTTGTCAAAATCAGGGCTAGCTAGAACAGACTTTTCAGACAAAATGTTCTTTACCTTATCAAATCCTTCCTGGCATGCTTTCATCCAACCGACTTTGTTTAGCTTGGTCTTTTTACATAAATCTGTGATGGCAGAGACAATGTCACCAGACCCACACACAAACCGCCTGTAATAGTTTACCAGACCTAGAAAGATTGGATTTATTTTTTGGTTTGGAATATATGCCAATTTACAATAGCTTCCACTTTCAAAGCATAGGGATGTTTGACCTTCCCCTACCCAGTGTCCCAAATAAGGAACTCTGGCTACTTCAGTTTTACAGAGGCTTTTATAGTTAGACCTGCCTCTTTGAGTTTTGACAGCACAGTTCCCAAGTGTTCTTTGTGATCAGCCCAAGTGTTACTAAATACTGTAGTGTCATCCACACATGCTCTTGCAAAGGTCTGTAGACCATTTAACGCTGGTTTACCAGCCCCTGGAAGGTGGCTCCAGCATTAATTAAATCAAATGGTAACACTGTGAACTCCTAGAGTCCTATATCGGTGATGAAAGCAGATTTTTTTCTGTGCATCCTCATCCAAAGGGATTTGCCAATAACCTTGAGTTAAATCAAAAGAATTGAGATATTTAGCTTTGCTTAAAATGTCCAGTGTATCATCAGTTCTAGGCATGGGATATACATCTGGTACTGTAACAGCATTAAGTTTTCTATAATCAACACAAAACCTTATAGTGTTGTCTTTCCTAGGGACCAAGACCACAGGTGTTGTCCAAAAGCGTACCCTGGGTAATGGCACTTACATACTTCAACTTTTATCTTCCTGTTTTCTTAATCCTCAGAAAGGAGCTGATTGCCAGACTGGAACAGGCAGAAAAGGAGAGCATGGATGCTGCTCAGCTGACTAAGGAATATGCAGAACTGACAGAGGAGAATCGGACATTGAAACTGGCTCAGACGCAGTGTGCAGAGCAACTGGAAAAGCTTAGAATACAATACCAAAAGAGACAGTGCTCTTCATAACTCTCAACTAGCCAATAAGAGGCAGTCAAATCCAGTCTTTGTTTTGTGCTGGCCAAGAGGTTTTAAAAAAAGGTTCTGTTGTAACACTTCACTAGAAATACAGAATATATAAAAGTCTATATTTGATTTAATGCTTGCCAGCCGGTAGCTTAATATAATGGATATTTTATTTCAAGTAACATAATTGAAGCTAATCTAGCCCCATTGTATGTTCTAGTAGATCAGATTTCTTTTCTAAAGATATTTCTTCCAATTTAAGAAGATATGGACACACTAGAAACTGATATAAATAGTCTCTATGTTGGGAGTTGGACCATACTAAGACGTACAGCAGGGGCAGTTTTAATATATGGAACACTGGAACACACTCATGTGCTTCTATTTTAGTTTAGTTTCCTTTTTCGTTTTTATTTTTGTCATGCCTAAAATGTTTGGAAATTGTCCTAAATCTAATCGGGCTATGGCTCAAGATTATGTTCCAAGTATCTGGCATGTTGATAATGTCAACTTTAGGTTGTTTTATAAATTCTAAAAGATTGCACATTTTTAAAAAAAGTACTTTCATTAAAATAGCACTAACTGATCATGTTAATCAAAGAATTATATTGCCAGTAATCATTTTCAAGTTATTAAATTGTGAAGAAACAGATAAGAAAGTTTTCTTTCCACTGCCATATACTTGGCTAGAAATTCTTTTCTTTTTAAAATTCATTTGTACTTTTTGGCATGCAAGAAATGGAAAAGTAATGTATGGACACTACAGTGGTGAATAAATAAGAATTTATGGTTGCTAATGGAGAATACTTCAGTAAAAGTACCATATATTTTGTTTTTATTTTGTAGGCTGTTTTGGAACAGAAATGACTGAGGGTAGGTACTAAGCAGTTCAGTGATATATGAATAACTGAGAGTTAAAATGTCTGTTTTTCCTTGCTCTACTTATCACTGTATTTTCCTAAATCAATTGAAAATCCTTTGTTATACTTCCATTTCTATTCATACAGTATTTTTTTCATTAAAAGTGGATATACAAAAAAAGCTATTTTGTGCCCTTCACTTCCTTAATCTTCCCCATATTTTAAACTCTGCTCAACTGGAAGTATGTTACACTTTTGTGAGGTTAGAATTAAATACACAGATTTGATGATGAGGTTACACTTTTAAAATTAAAAATGTTAGGAATTGCAAAAGGTAAGATATTCACTGTAACCTTTAACTTTGACCCCATTCTTCTTGTAGGACCCAAGATTTATATTAAATTAACCTAGGCAATTCTCACTGAAGTTATTTAGCACCAAATTTTACCCCAGCTAGTGCAGCACAGAGGCCTAAAGTAGCCCAACGTGCCCCCTTACATCTCTCTGCTGGCTAACAACATCAGGTAGCATCACAGACTTGAAAGTAGGTTCCATAAGGCTGCTGCTTACTTCCTCATGGAGTATGGGGACAGGACGGGGTGGGGAACAGGCAGAATCTCAGCTCCAATCTCCCCAGCTCACGGGGCAGCATATCTTGTACTGGGTCTATACCTGGGGCAGTTTACTCTCTTCCCAGAGCAGTAGGAAAACAAGAAGGGGAATGGTGTCTGAGTCACAATCTTTTTTCCTGGGATGCTTAACGGGCATGTAATAATGTGCTGCCCCTTATTTAGGGCAGATCATTATCTCACAGTGTAGTCCTTGTTTGTACAAATTTGAAAGCAAAACTGGATCCATACATTGAACAGCATAATGAATAATATAAAATACTTAAGATATGGAATGCGGGCAAGGTAAGAACTTTGAGACAAATTCTATGCTGACATACACTCTGTGTAATCTTGTTGTCTTCAGTGGGATTGCACTGAATGCATGACAAATATTGTAAATTCTCGGTTTCCTCCTCCCTATGGTATTGGAGTACTGTGGTCTCGCCACCTGCAATAAATCTGGAATTCTTTAGATAAGGTTCTTATTCAAAGCCCATTGACATCAACGGAAACTCCCTTTGACTTCAATTAATTTGGGATCTTTTATTCCACTGATCCGGTCTTTTTCCATTTAGCCAAACGCTGTTTTTCCCCTCCTTTATATTGTTAATTAGAATGCACAATCAAAAATAGCTCACTTTAATTTACATATATGTGCTAACATGAACGCACATGTTTTTGAGAATAGCAGCTCAAAGACATTTCCTCACCAGCAAAATGAGTAAAACCAAAATGGAGGTAGCTGAAAAAGAAAAAAATAATCAAGAAAATACCAAATAAGAGAAGAAAAACTAAAGGATCTGACAAGTGAACAAAATTACATCCACTGAACTTTGCAAATCCATTTGTAGGAAAATGAAACTGTAGAAAACTGAGGATAACCAAGAGGCTACTCACAGTGTGTAAAGTATAGTTCAGTCAGATTAGCCTTCTGAAAAGAAACTGTTTGTTTGTTTTTCTACCAATGGGTATTTTAAAAAAATATTAAAGCATGAAATAATAAACTTTTACATAATCAGAGTAACTATTGTGACAGGGTCAGGCCAGCTGGCTACAGGAGAGTGATCCTGTTGGTATCCAGGAAGTGGGCGGGCAAAGCCCCCCCACTGCGAAAGGACCTCCCCCCAGCCTAAGGGGAGGATCCACAAGTCTGTGATTACAGGAGAGTGATCCTATTGGGATCCAGGAAGTGGGTGGGCAAAGCCCGCCCACTGCTAAAGGATCCCCCCCAGCCTAAGGGGGGGGGTCCACAGGACCTGGAGACCAAAAAATTACGGGGGACAACTAACGAAAGAACAGGGACAGGAGTGAGGTCAAAGGGTCAAACGAAGCGAATCAGACGGGGACACCGAGCAGAGAACCTCGGACAGCGCCCACTGCTCCTTGAAGGCGTCAAGGGAGCCAGTGGATGCCACCCAGAGGAATTCTGCCCGGATACGTGAACGGACGGAGGATCGGAAATAGGCCCCAAAGTCACAGGAGACTCCATCAGCCAACCTCCTCACCCTGGTTTTATAGATGGCTATTACAGGAGAGTGATAGAAGACAGATATATTAGTCTCAGGTTAAGTAGGTCCCTTTTCCCTGGGTAAGGTAACAGGGAAGGTTCCAGAACAATCAGGAACTTTCTGGAAACAATTAAAGCAGACAGGCTGATTAGAACACCTGCAGCCAATCAAGAAGCTGCTAGAATCAATTAAGGCAGGCTAATCGGGGCACCTGGGTTTTAAAAAGGAGCTCACTTCAGTTTGTGGTGGGAGTGTGAGGAGCTGGGAGCAAGAGGCGTAAGGAGCTGAGAGTGAGAGGGTGTGCTGCTGGAGGACTGAGGAGTACAAGCGTTATCAGACACTAGGAGGAAGGTCCTATGGTGAGGATAAAGAAGGTGTTTGGAGGAGGCCATGGGGAAGTAGCCCAGGAAGTTGTAGCTGTCATGCAGCTATTACAGGACGCACTATAGACCACTTCAATCCACAGGGACCTGGGCTGGAACCCGGAGTAGAGGGCGGGCCCGGGTTCCCCCCAAACCTCCCAACTCCTGATCAGATACAGGAGGAGTTGACCTGGACTGTGGGTTCCACCAGAGGGGAAGATATCTGAGGCGAGCAAATCCGCCAATAAGTGCAGGACCCACCAAAATAGAGGAGGAACTTTGTCACACTATGTAGTCTTGACACCCTGGGTTTTTCTTAAAGCAACAACACTGCTAAATAATTTAATACCAATTACATTTTATATGAAAAGATTTGCTCATTATTTGTGCTCTTTTCCTCTACTATTTAGAGGTTTATGACTGAACTATTCTACTAAAAAAAATCCATTCTAAATGTAATACTATATACAAAAGAAAATTTTAGGCAATTATGTTAAAGGTGATTTTATATTGTATTTCATCTCAGAAATTTTGAATGCCAAGTTCTGTCTCTCTGAGTGTACATACCCAGCTGCCAGTGAGATCTTTAACTTTATGAACTTTGCCTACCTCTAACAATTGCAGTTTTCATATGGAAAGAGATTAGAGTGATCTAATTTTGGCACCAATGCAGTAGCGGTCTTTTTTAGTGGATCCCAAAAGGTTATTCAGTCTGAAGATATTAAACATATCAGTGCAGTAACATAAATGCAGTTATTTCAGGTCAGGTCACTAGAGAATGGTGGGAGAAGAAAAATGTGCTAAAAAAAATCTAAGTTTTTCATTTCCAATTACTATTTACTTCTTTACAAACATACCTAATGCTGAACAAGCTTACTTAAGTATTCCAGTTAGCAAGGATATGACTCATGCAGTCCTGAAACTGCCAAATGCTAGGGTGATTTTATAGATTTAAAAAAAAAAAAAGGACTGGAAAAGAAGAAGCTGCAATTTTTCAGAATTGTTTCCTTTTCCTGGAACATGTTACTATTCCAGCTCTCTTGTGAATTTATGATCTTTGGAAAATTCCTAGAATTGATGCTTTTAAAAATGTGGCTTATTACAGGCTAGTTCTTAATGAAAGATGGAGATTGTTGCAAACAGGCATAGGTAAGGCAGATAAGTTCTTTCCCATACAGTTGTGCTGCGGTTCCGTGGCATGAACCTTTATGCTAATATCACATCAGCCATGGAACCCAGTCTGAGCATGGAGCTGACCTAGCTGAGGTTCTGGTGTAAGGTAAGTGCATTTTTTAAAAATCATATATACTACATGTTTTTCAAATAAAACATTTTTATACATAAACAAGATGTCAATGTTCTTTGTTGCTGAAGCTGTGCAATAGTTAAAATAGCATAATTACTAGATCCTACATATTAGAGAGACAAAGTGGGTAAGCACAGGTGCCAACTTTCTAATGTGCCGGAGGGTGCTTGACCCCCTGCCCTGTACCAGGTCCTGCCCCCACTCCACCCCTTCCTCCAAGGCCTTGCCCCCACTCCAGCCCCGGAGCACCTATGGAGTCAGCGCCTATGTAGGTGAGATATCTTCTATTGGACCAACTTCTGTTGGTGAGAGTGACAAGCTTTCAAGCTACACAGAGCTCAAAAGCTTGTCTCTCTCACTAACAGAAGTTGTTCCAATAAAAAGATATGACCCCGCCCACCTTGTCTCTTAATATCCTGGAACAGACATGGCTACAACAACACTGCATACAGATCCTACCTATGGCAGTTTGGTTTCACACTCCAGTGGGGCTCTCATTGATTTTATGTTATCAGAGTAGTGGAGTTAGGGAAATCATGGCAGTGTGGGAGCTGATTATCAAAGCCGGACTGGACATTGTGCTTGTTCTCTGAGAAGTTACTATTTAAATAGCATTGTGAGGTTTCACATCTGTTTTGGTGGCTACTGCTCAACTTGTTCACTTTGCTACTAAAAAGTTGAGGGTGGGTGTTTCTAACTACCCACTTATTTAAGGCAAGCTGTTTGTTTTTGTTTGTTTCCTGGCTTGCATTTCATCACCAGTAATAAAGTTTCTGTGGCCCAAATTCTGCCCTGTTATACTCAGGTAACTCTGTTGTAACTGCAATAGCCAGACCTAAACCGGACTTGTATGAAGTCCTCAAATTCCTCTGCTCCATCCACCGCAGAATCACATCCACAGAGTGGGATTTGACCCATAGAAATGCAAAATTATTTGACACCATATCTAGCCTTCTTCTCACTAGCAAATGATCATCAGTTGGCATATGCTTTTCAAAGACTTCAGTTAAGTCCTAGAAGAGTCTTGTATCCTAACCCCTTTAGAGCAATGGTACAGGAAATCTTGAGAGGGTTTTGTATGTAACATTTATTTGAATAACATAGAATTAAAAAAAGGGAAATGTGGATACTCCTGCAGAATGCAATGATAGAAACATTTGCTGAAAGAGTGTATTGTTCCCTAATGAAAATCCGCCAACATCAGCCAGATGCAAAACAGAATTCTTTTTATCAAATTCTAGGCAGTGTTGCTAGATTAAGGTTGCCCAACACTTCCCAATAGAAGAGCCAGTTTTCAGTTGCTTCTAACTTTGCCAAACTTTCTGTTTTGGGCTGGAATTTTCCATGCCAGGTGTCAACCTCAGGCTGATATTTAATTTAGAAAT